TAGGCACCTATAATTCCTGCCTTAATTTATTTTTTCAAGCCTTCAATGCTCTGCTAATTTGATAATATTCGTTATTATAATAGTTGATTATAATCTGCAATTTCATTTTCAATGTTACATTTAAATTTTTCTTTTATCTCTCGGTTAACTCAAGATCTGAAAAGATTTCGATGTATTAATGTTATAAATTAAACAATATTGACGATTTTACACGTTTTTTAGGTCTTAATTACACAATTTTACTTATTTTGGATTTATACTGCAGGAAAATCCGGTCTCTAGTTATTACATATTTGGTTAATCAATTCAGATTTCAAACTTTCAGAATCTGATTTTCTTCTTCAACGAAATTCGACAATTTTATAATATAATATATTTGCATATTTAATAAATAATATATTATACCTATTATACAATATGTAATATATTTCGAAATAAATATTATCATTTCATAACTGTCACTCATTACGTTTAAATGAAAATCAAAACATTCAAAAACTAGAATTTTTTTTTAAAATATAAAAACAAAATTTCGATTGAAATTCGAAGGTTTTTTAATTCTTGCATTCCCAGACCCAGAATCCTCTGATATGGTAATGATAAGGCCGGATCAAGCCATGTAAAAACCCCTAGTTTGTTCTGCGAGACTGACGGAAAATAATCAATGCTTTCATCCTAAATAATGAAAATACGTGGAGTTAATTTTTAATACGATCTGAAATTATATTGACACATTCCCATTATTCGGGAGGGATTTGTTTCTGGCGGTAAGTGTAATTTTATTATTATTATTTAGAATTTTATTTTCAATGAAAAAATTTAGTATGTGCCTTATAAGTTTATTAAGTGACATTTTTCCTCGTTTAAGAGTAGAAACGAAATCATTTCAAAATAAATTAAACAGGGGCGTATGCGAGAGAGGAGGGTAGGGGGTCGTTGCCCCCCCTAATAATTTAAAAGAAGAGGTTGCAAAAAAGTTTGTCAAAAATTCAAGAAAAATAATTTTTAAACAATTTTATTCGATATGTATGTTGTGTTTCATATAAAAATATTTATAAATTGTAATAATAATAAACTTCTTAGTATAATATTATAGCTTTTGGAATCATTTGTCTACCAAAGATATTCCTTTATTTATTCTTGCCCCTCCCAATATGAAAGTTGCGTACGCTCTTGAAATTAAAACTACGGCAACTTGATTTTTGTCAAAGTGGCGCGTGGCTCAAAGTCGGTTGTCTATCTAGCTTGATGAATTATAATTATGAAAACTAAAACAAGAAAGTTTTTTTTTCACAAAGTAGAAATACTAGTTAATTATTACAAAAGTAAATATTTCGTATTTAAAATTTTAATAGTAGAAATACTAAGTTAATTATTACATAGTAAATATTTCGTATTTAAAATAAGGTTATTACTGGTGAAATTTAATTTTTATACTAAAATTATTAATAAATTTACTTAACTTTCAATTATTTTTATATGATTTAGCTTTACACGTTTTAGAGATGCAAAGTGCCTGTTTGGATACGATTGTGTATATATATATATATATATATATATTCTGTGCCGGCCTATTTCTATTCTTATTACGGCAGGCAAGCTGGGCCCGATGGGGGTGAAGATCTTCGGGATCCGCTCGCCACATGTTAGAAATTAAAAAAAAAATAATACGAAACGTAATTAAGATATTAAATAAATAATACAAAATAATTAATTTTAGCCTATCTATAAAGCAACTATAATAGAGAAATATTGAATTAAATAAATTTAAAATATTAAATAATATAAAACAGCTGAAGAAATAAATTTAATTCTTTTAGGGGTAGGAAGATATGACGTCATTGCCCTTGGCGCCGAATATCTAAAGCTGGCACTAACGATATCCTTATGAAATATATATATATATATATATATATATATATATATATATATATATATATATATAATGTTTGGTTTTTATATATTTCTATTTTAAGAAGTTGTTTATTTTTAGGTTAAACCTTGAACTTTTGAAATTTATTACTAGCTTTGTATTATTTTCATATCAGAATATTTATTTATTTTCTATTTTAAAAAATAAATAAATTTTTTTTAGAATGAATATTGAGAACAATACTATAACTAATAATGAAATGACTAGTTTTAATTTAATTTCAATTTTTAGTTGTTTGTGAAGTTCGAGCCCAACACCTAATAGTTCCCTTTGATCCCCAGTCACTTTACAATAATTTGACGAATTTTTAAGGACTTGGAGTTATAAACAATCGTATCCAAACAGGCACTTTGCATCTCTAAAACGTGTAAAGCTAAATCATATAAAAAAAAAAATGAAAATTAAATAAATTTATTAATAATTTTAATATAAAAATTAAAATTTTACCAATAATAACCTGATTTTAAATAGGTAATATTTACTTATATAATAATTAACTTAGTATTTCTACTTTTAAAATTTTAATTACGAAATATTTACTTTTGTAATAATTAACTAGTATTTCTACTTTGTGAACAAAAAACTTTCTTGTTTTAGTCTTCATTATTATTATTAAAAATAATTGATATTTTATATTGAAAAAAAGTGTAAAATTAAAAAAAGAACTTGTTGAAAACAGTAGATTTTAACATCAGTGAATAATTTGGGGCATTGGATCTCGGGGGGGGGGGGGGGGAGCGTGAGACGAGAATTGAAAAAATAATAAAAATGAAAATAACTAAAAATTTGAAAATAAAAAGAACATTATTTTAAATTAAAAGTTGTAGAAAATAATATTAATACGACTTTGTTCGTATTCGTATTAGCCAGGGTATTTTAAGCAAATTTTCAACCTAACTGTAAGTAACATAACCTGCTGTAACTGTAAGTAAGGGAAATGTTTAGCATTTCGTCGTCTTTGTAATGAGCTATTATTCAAACTTGTATCTTAACGTGAGGTCGTATTAGAGAGGCGAAAAGTGTCGAAAAACAACTGAGTTTTATTGAAGATATGGATTAAAATATCCCAGAAATTAAAATTCGGACCTGCATAATTAAAAATTGTATCTTAACGCGACAAAGAGAAAATGATCCAAAATTTTAAACTTTGGTGGGTTCAAATGCCCCTAAATCCTTAAATCGAACTGTATGAGCTGGAAGACGAACATTTTCTTAATACCCAAAGGAAGTCCTATCAGGCTGTTAAGTTGAAAATTTGCTTAAAACACCCCGGTTTTTTTTCGGCCCAGGCTCCAGGTCTATATCATTTACTATCACAGACTATCATTTATCATCCCGTATATTTCAATCTCAACTCATTCATATATAGTCATTCATCGTGGTGTCAATGCACTGGCGGATCCACTAGGGGGCTTCAGCCCCAGCAGGGGGGAAATTGCTTATAACCAAAATGGCCAAGTAATAGAAGGGGAGAAATGTATCGAAGCCAAAATGTTCATGCACTAAACCAAAGATATTGACATTTTCAATAGAGAGAAACCAAGCGCCTCAGAGATAATTTTGCCGGCCCCCCTCAAATGTTTATTTTATTTAGCAATAAAACTCAATCGAAGCTTTTTATATAGTATGCAACAAAAATATTCATCATAACAAGTTCGTTAAAATCACATTCTACTGTTCGAGATTCGTTCTTTTTGGGAATTTCTTCGAAAGGATGCCAGGAAATGCACTGTTTTCAGCTAATACATACAGACATAAGCATTTCGTATTACCCAAAGTGTTAACCGAGTCCATGATAACGAGGGATTAATGTGCTAAGGTGTATAAATAAATTATCAACGCCATTTTGAGCTTCCATATCATACACGACAATAATCGGAAAGCATTTTTTTTTTTTTTTTGTTCTCTAAAGATGAAGAATTACTTGAATGAAAAATATTTCCAAAAAAAAAATTTAGTTGGTGAATTATTTGTTCAGAAGAAACGTCTAAGCGTGAAATGGACATGAGTACATTAAACTAAGCGTACAACACATGTATATGAATATATTAAATAAAATTGTTCTGTGAGTCAATCTATGTGATTACTGACTCAGGTGCTAGAATGAGAAAGCTGGCAGGTGTACCTACGGTCCTCTAATTCATTGACCTTACTCCAACATAAGGCTAATCATCGTATCAGAAAAATTAAAAAAAAAAAAAAAAAAAAGAAAAGAAAAAAGAAACTGTTCCTTAAGAACAGTGAAAAAAACATGCAGGCTCCATAAAATAATAATCCATGAATATTTTTTGTTGAATATCTCATGAATATGATCGTAGAATAGCAAAATAGACTTATTATATAGATTTATTATTTTCGTTTATGATATTTTTTTTTGTACATTTAGCCACTAAAGCTAGTTCGAATTCTATACTGCTCAAAAATTAAAAGGTATATTTCTATTTGATCCGTTTAAATTAAAATGTCTCTTTTTTGTGTATTTTTTTTTTCATACTCCTATGCTCATTCTGTAAACCAACTGTTGTTTTCGACCTTTCTTTATTTTAGTCCAGTAATATTCTGTTTAACGGTGGAAAGACATTGAACCAGAATACTATCGTGCTAATGAATGGTCACGGGAACCGGTAAGTGGACCTCTTCGTGGATCTTAGCCCATTACTCATTACTCCAATAGATGACAGAAATCACGGGGGGGAAGGAGGCTTTGGTTCTGAACCTCCTCCCCACAATATGGTAAAACATAACCATGTTTTATGGAAAAAAAAATTAAAAAATTATCTCTTAAAGTATTATTGTTCCTGTAATTACATTTAAAAGGAATTTAGGAATCACTTAAACACCATTTCATATGGGTCGTTAGTTTCTTTCTTTTTTCCAAAGGAATTATGGTAATATTTATTATAAAAAAAAAAAACTTTCGGGCTGACGCCCCTTCCAAAATTAAATCCTGGATCCGCTAGTGACATAAATATTGTTATTACTGCAAGAAGCAACCGTTTTCATAGCCCCCAACAAAGCACAAATGAAGTGTCTGCTTGTTCTGCTGAGGCCCATATTAACACAAACCATGCGTAATCGTTTTTGGGAAGTTAGTCTAACATCTTATGACCCATTAAGACGATGTACAGCAACAGTGCGTCACCGGCAACCTCTAGCGGATCCAGCATTTAATTTTAGGTGGAGGGAGCTTTAGCCTGAAAGTTTTTTTTTTTTAATAAATATTACCATAATTCCTTTGGAAAAAAGAAAGAAACTAACGACCCATATGAAATGGCGTTTAAGTAATTTAAGTGCTATTAAATGTAATTGTATGAACAATAATACTTTTATTAGAGTTGACAATAATAATTTTATTAGCTGGTGGTTAGTGTTGATGCTCCCCCTCTATAGATAAACAAAAAACTTTTTTTTGAAACTGATTTTCACTTTAGCTTACCTATTTATGAAATGTATAGTAAGGGAAAGTATTGCGATCGTGAAAATTTTCGAATCCCGATTTTTAACGGAAATACACGTTTTGAAGTGTCCCCTGATTCCAAATAACATGGTTTGTCTATGTGTGTGTCTGTTTCTGATTGTATGGGAACACGCTGGCTCAAAAAAGAAAATTTGTACGGAAATGAAATTGCGTATTTAATTGTATATGCATAGGATGTCACATATACAAGGTTTGTATAAGTCTAGGATGTATTGAACATTTACTTCAAAACTGGCTAACCGGAAGTGCCACTTTGGCCGCCTGAACCAGCCTTTTCCATTTCTGCCTATCTTGGGCTACTGCTTTTCAGCTTGCGGCATGAAGCACAGCCGTATCTTTGTTTATCTTATCTATCCATCTGGTTTTTGACCTCTCATGTGGTCTCTTGCCTACTACTTTAGGATTCATTGTTGTGTGAAGGCGTCCTGAAGGATTGCTTTGAGCTACATGCCCCTTCAATCTTAACGTCCTTGCCTTCATATCATGAGATTTTGACTGAATAGTTTCTTTTAGCAGTTCATTATTGTTCCTTCTGCTTCATGTGTTCTGATCCCAGAGAGGTTCTGTTATCGTACGGAGGACTTTTCTTTCGGATCTCTCAATTCTGCTTTCTAGGGTGCCGGTTAGAGACCAGGTTTCACAGCAGAAATGGCATTATCATGGCATTGTATAACCTTAGTTTGAGATTTCTGGAGATTTTTCTGGATTTCAGTACCCTTGTAAGAGAGAAGAAAGCTCTGTTCGCACTTGTTATTCGCTAGTCTATCTCTATTAAATGATCATTTATTGAGGTTATTGTGGAGCCAAGGTATTTGAATCTATCTACTTTCGGCAATGATTTAGAATCCACGCAGATCATACTATTAGGGTGGATATTTTGGCTAACTATAATATATTTTGTTTTATCTTCATTGACTTGTAGCCCGATTTGCTCTGCTTCTCTTATCAGAGTCAGAGCGAGTCTCTCAATATCCTATAGATTGCTCCCGAGGACAGCTATATCATCCGCATATGCTAAGATTTTATGTTTCACTCTGACGTGCATCTCTCCATCTTCGCGTGATGTTCTTCATACTTTCTCTTGGGCTAAGTTGAACCCAGAGTCCATCTCCCTGCCTCAAACCTGTTCGAACTTCAAAGGCTTGTATTAGTACTCTGCATTTAGGATCATTTAAACACGCCTTCGTCAACCTCGCTAACTTTCCGGGAACACCCAACTCAGCCATGATCTTCCAGAGACAGTTTTTGTCCAAGGAGTCATATGCTTATTTAAAGTCCACAAATAAGGCGTGTACGCCCTAATCTACTTTCTATTTTTTTTCGAGTTCTTGTTTTAAGATGAATATCTGGTCTATCGTACTCCTTCCTCTCCTGAATCCTGCTTGGTGGTCGCCTATATGTTATATGTATATGTATATATGTTATATGTATATTATGTTTTCATAATACGGATATATCCGACTTAACAGATTATTAGTCATTATCTTATAGGCAACCGGAAGAAGTGCTATGCCTCTGTAATTACCACATTCATACATGGAGCCCTTAAGGATAAAACAGATCAGCCCTGTGTTCCAGGCTTCTTGTATCCGTTCCTCCAATATTTTCTAGATACGTTCTAACAGCTTGGCTCTGAGGTGTTCTCTCCCATCCTTGGACAATTATGATGGTAGATTGTCAATCCCTGGAGCCTTTCTTCTTTTAAGCCTGCCGATAGTTATTTCCACATCCAGAATATATGGTTTTTTAACCTGAAGTGGTTTGATGTCCTCAGTGTGGTCCATGTCTTCTTCGTTGGTGGAGTGCCCTTGATTGAGGAGCTACTGTGAATAACTACTAAGCATCTGAAAAGAAGTTTTCCTTTTAGATGTTTAGGATTTATTCTTTTGATGCCGTCAATTTGCCATTTTTCCCTCGCATTTGAGTATTTCTCGCTTTATATCCCACCCTTTCTTTCCTGATATATGTGAAGAAGTTTGGCAAGTGGGTCCTATCGTGGTCCTCTTTGTCAACCCCTGATGGCTACCTTGAGGTTGCCTTCGCGTACTTACAAGTTCAAAACCGGGCACACGTGGACGCGTCAACTCTCGGCCATCCCGTCCTTCAGTTTCCATACGTAACACTTGTTCATATGTACACACGTAAAATATGGGCTCCGCTAATATTGTTATTACACATATATGTGCGGTATAAATTACAGTTGTATAGATTTCAGCAATACAAAAATTAAAATGTGTATATATACCAATGAAAACTAATTGAAATACCTACAATGAAATATGAATAAATATAGCGGCCTTCTTTATCAGTGGTGGCTGTTGAATTTAAAATATTTCATGGTACTTAATTAGTTATTAGGGAGAGCGGGATAGCAAGATCCTAGGTTCAAATCCCGGCTCGTGGCAGAAAAATTATTTATTCTGTTTCATTGGCCGTTGGGCGATCCGTGGGCGACGGGTAGGGAGACCCTCCTTGGGCACACCTAGCCTCTACAAAGTGGGTACCCTTAATTAAATAATTAATTAAGGGGAAAAACCTGGCAATTGAGCGTGATATCAGTTAAATCATCTCGTTGCACAACCGTTGGCCTTGAAGCAGTACTTTCCCTAAACAGCACTAAATCCAAGACCCTTCTAGGATTGTAGTGGTACAGGTATTTATAATTAGTTACTAGAATCAAAGAAATAATTTAAATATACAATCGTAAAAGAAAATAGTTAATGAGGGAAAAAAGCATAAATATAATACAGTGCCGGCTTTAAGGTGGCGCAACCGGAGCAATCCCCCGGGGTGTCGAACTGGAGGGGAGCCGGAACATGTTCAGGGGTGCTCGCCACTTGTTACATATTAAAAAAAAATACAAAACATAATAAAATTATTAATTTTAGCCTATCAATAAAGCAACTGTATTAGATTAATGCTGAATTAAATAAAATGACAATATTAAATAATATAAAAGCTTAAAAAATAAATTTACTTTTTTTTAGGAAGGGGGTAGATGAATTCATTGCCCGGGCTCATCGAATGTCTAGGGCCGGCACTGATACAATACATTAGGTGGCTGTAAAAAGCATATGTTATTAAGTGTTTTAAATAATATTTTTTTCCCTCTGTAATTTTTACTATAACTTCCTTTTGGCTGAAAATATCTATTTGTGCTTTTTAAAAAAAAGGGTGTAAGGTTATAGATTTTTTGCCACCTTAAACAGCCTTCATCTCTGCCTATCTTGGGCTATTTCTTTCCAGTTATCTCCATGCAGTTCTATTGCATCCTCGTTGATTCTATCAATTTACCTGTTTGTTTTTTTTTGGCCTTCCCCGTTATCTTTTTCTTCTATTCAGGCTCTAATTGTTCTGTAGAGGGCTCCAGATGGATTTCTCAGAGCTATATGAATTCCTTGAAATGAAGAACAGAAGATGTTTGTTCGAAGTTTATTGCCTAAATACAGAAGGTTCCACAAGATTTGTTGACATGAAAAGGTCTGAAAACGTAAACGGACGATCAAGATCAATCATTCAAAGTACAGACAGGATTACACACAGAGGAAGTTTGTACGAAATACATACCTTACTTAAAAAATATATATATAGAAAAGAACTGGGATAGTGAAAATTCTGAGTTAAAGGGCTATGGTTTGAAATTAGGGAAACCTTCCCTCTTAATATATGTCATTTCTTGCAGAGGCTCGGCGTTGGAAGGGAGCAGATGAAGACCATGGCAGAAACTATTATTTTAGACTCATTAGAAATCCTCCATCACCAAATATAGTGATCTTGGCCTTTGCTTATTTGATTCTGTAAACTGTTCTCTGCATATTTGCCATGTACTACAATGGTTCGTCCTAACTCTTTATTATGTTTTAAATTTATTTTCTGTTGTCTAATGATTTTACTCTATGATTTAACAACTCAACAGAGCTGAGATGCCATGTAATATCATTGTAATGCTGTTTATTCATAGGAGTGTATTTTATTTTGATTAGCACTAGTGGAGATCTACAACTTAGAATGAAATGTTGGCACACATTAAAAAGAAGTTTTACATTTACTGTTGAGATGAAGTTCCAGCGTAGAGAAACGTGAAAGACAAGGCGAGACTGCATCATAAACAATCGAATTAGAGGTGCTTCCATTGAAAACAATTGTTGAACACAGTTAAAATGGTTTGGACATGTTTGTCTAATGGATGAAGTGAGACAACCCAACACACTCTCTGCACAAAGCTAGACCTACAGGTAAAAGACCACGTGGCCAGCCAAGAATTTCCTATCAGGAATACATCCAGATGATTGGGTTAAAAGAGACAAGACTCTTGCAGAAATGAAGCAGCTGAGCAGTCACCCGGAAAACTGGTAGGGCTGGATCGAGGCTCGAAGAGGAAGAGAAAAAAAGAAGACACTTATTGTGTTTTCTCTCTTAAATGAATACCCAATCTACTTATCCTTAAATACATGTACTGTTAATGATATCTCCACCATTTTAAATTTAATAGTTTCTACATTTCTACATTTTTGTATTAAAAGAAAATCAATTTTTAAAATATAAATAATCTTATTGCATAATTATGAAAATATATTACAATCCATTATTGGGTTATTTATTTTTAAATTTATTGATTTATATTTTCATATGAATATAGGTATCCGAAGAACATGGGTGTGAAGAACAAGTGTTTCCAATGGCTATAAATTTTTTGGATAGATTCCTTGCTGCATGCCCAATTAAACCCAATCAACTACAACTTTCTGCAACTGTAAGCCTTCTTCTTGCCTCAAAAGTTAGAATGTGTACTCCTCTTTCTGTTTATTTGTTGTCTATGTTCACGGATCGTAGCATCACTCCAAAACAGATAAAGGTATGATCATTAATATTTAAATTTTCTTAAAATATGTTGTTATTTTAAAATAAATAGGTTCTTATTTCTAAATTTTTAAAAATAAAAAAAATAACTTGTATTTAACTACCAAATAAATGCACGTAAATAAAAATTATAACTGTTCAAATAAATCTTGTATATTTCAAGTATAATGTTACAGATGATTTTAATGAACGAATATCTAAATGATATATTACCATATTTCCTGTTTAAAGTTAACTTAGCGATGGCTTGATTTTCTGTCTGTATTCAGCCATTGTAAGAACTGTTTCTATATGTCTCCATAGCAACTCTTTCAAGAACAATCAAATAGCAACTGCTTCACCTTCAAAACTTATAGTTTTCCCTTATTGCTGTAATAATAGTTAGTTGATACATTTCTAAGATGTTTAATATTCTTCAAAAAAGGAAAGTACGGGTTCATAATTAATGAATGTAAGATGGTATGAACCAATTTTAAAAAGAGTAGTAAATTGTTCCTGTCCTTTCCAGGTAATTTTAGCAAAATATAATGAAATGTCTTAGCAGACGGTGACCATAATTATCAGATAAACAATATTATAAATACTTCAGTTCCTTTTTTTGTTGACACTAACATGTGTTATTTTAATTATTATCTGTACCTAAATAAAAAAGTGTTTATAAATGTATTTAAACTATTTTTTTTGTAAATTTAATTTAATTGTATATTTTATTAGTTGATTAGTTGTTATGATTATTTATAATATCTAAGTACATTTCAATTAATCATAACTGGCACAAAATCATATTTATATTGTAACAAATAGTGGCTCTTATCTACTAAAAAAAGCTAATTCACCTAGAGTGTAGTATGGACGCAAAGGCATACTCTAGATTGACGGTGATAAGGTTCTATGTTACTATTTTTACTCTGATTCAACTTTTTTTCAAGTTTCAGCTATCAGTAAGAAAAGGGATAATGCATTTGCTTCAGTTGAAATACATAAAATTATACTTGGCTTATTTCAAATTATTATGAAAAACTAATAAAATATATAATTAAATTAAATTTCCAAAACAAAAATGAATGTCTACCAAAATGATTTCCACTACCCTTCAAAATGAAAATAATGAAAGGATGTACGTACTCCATGATAGACCGTTTATTAATTGTCGGTCTTCTCCTGAAGTGTTGGATCTTTGAAGTTGAAGTTCAAAAAAATAAAAAATAAATAAATAAAATAAAAATATTGAATAAAAAAAACATTATATAGTAAACAAGAAATTTAGAACTGCATGCAGTGTATTTTAAACCCATATTTAATAAAATATATAATTTTTACAATCTTTAAACTTGTAAATATCTAAATAGAAAAAAATATTATGATGCTCTTAGATATCATACATTTCATGAAATCATGCAAATGAAATTATGTAAATAACATGAATAAATAAATATATACAATTTTATCTTATATTTATTTACAGAGATTAACAATATAACTTAGCAGTTATAACATAATTTATTAAATGAAAATTATTATCTTACTAATACATTAAAAAGTACAAATAAATTTATTTAAGGCAGCCCATAGAATATTATAGTCAGCTAAACTATAGGTAGAATTATTTAGGACAAATATCTAGTAAGAGAAGTAGAATTAAACACCATTTTTCCATTTTTTGTATATATTATGGCAAATTTGGTTTAATAAACATGGTCAATTTACGTTTCCTGTGATTTATATTTATGCAAAGTAAGCAGGTAAATATTCAAAAATATAAGTACTTAAAGTGAAATAAACTGAACTGAAGGCATAAAATTTAACCTTTTTATTACATATTCAATTCTTGTTACAATTTTAGTCTATAAATATATTTAAATAACCATGAAAACTTTTTTTTCAGGATTGGGAACTACTCTTTCTATCCAAGTTGCAGTGGGAAGTTTGTGGTGTTACTGGTTGTGATTTTATTGATCATATATTGGAGGGGACTAATTTAGTAGGAACTTGCAATATGCTAAGACCTCATACTATCACACTTTTATCACTTGCATACACAGGTATAGTTTGCATTGAACAATAAAAATTTATATATATTGTAAATATTTTATTTATTTTTTAATAAAAGTTTTTTAATTTCTTCACCTATATATATTGAGTTTAAAACAGAGAGGAGGTGGTTTAGCTTCTCAGGATTAACAGGTCAATTAGCATCTATTTTACCTAACCTGAAATAGATATGAAGATGAGATTGCAGATACCATCAACAAACTTAAAAATAATAAGGCTCCTGATGCTGACGCACTCCTTGCTGAACTTTTAAAATGCTGTAAAAACGAACTAGCCGAAGCTCTACAGGATTTCCTCCTTGTGATATGGACTGATGAGACGATGCCCTCTGACTGGAATAGGTCAATTATCTGTCCTATACATAAAAGTGGTGATAGGTTGCTATGAAGCAATTATCGAGGTATCTCGCTGCTGTTCTGCGCCTATAAGATCCTGTCTCATATTCTGTTTAGACATCTTTTGCCATATGCTGAACATGAGCTTGGTCCATACCAGAGTGGGTTTAGGAAAGGAAGATCCACCTCTGACGAGATGTTCTGTGTGCGAACCATTCTTGAAAGAGGCCATGAGTATAAAACCAAAACTCACCATCTGCTCCTCAATTTCAGGGCAGCCTATGACAGCATAATATGTGAAGAACTGTATAGTGCTCTCAGAGAATTTAACATACCTGAGAAACTTATACGTTTGATAAAGCTTACCATGAATGATGTGAGATGTATGGTTAGAGTGAATGGTGACAGATAAGAAGATAAGACAACTAAATCCAAAACCTTTTTAGAATTTAATTTACTTTATTTATTTTACTAGAATTTATTACTATTAAACCAGAAATTATTCACTTGCTAAAAACTTTCTTGAAATAAAGCTGTGTTCCATCTTCATCCTCGCAGAGTGTTGCTTGTAGTTTGAATAAAACTACTTATTTCTTCATCAATTTAATGGTAGAAAAGTCAGATCTTGCTTGAATTTGTGATTTATCAGCCTCCTTTAGCTTCTCATTCTTCCAATTTCTTTTATTTTTATTTTCAATCATTTTTTCATTGTGAAAAGCTTGGCATAAATGTCTAGTCTATCTATGTATCATTTTTAATTCATTCTTCTTTGAGATTACAATGACCGCAATAGGAGAGCCTCCATCTCGTTACTCCAATTTTTTAACATATATTTTAAAATTATCAATGCACTATTAGCTATTAATTATA